AATTTAGTTGATAATAGATTTTTATCTATATAAAGTATTAAAAATTATAATGTTAAGTAAAATAAGGTAATAATTAAAATAGAATTTTAAAAATTATCATGTTATTTTTAAATTAATTTGATAATTAACATTTTCGTCCAGTAATAATTTAAAAATGATAACTTATCATGTTAAGATTCAAATGTAATAATTAAAAGTTTAAAAACCATTATGATATTAAGTATTGAACTTACTTTATAATTAAAAAAATTTAAACATGAAAAATGTAGACTCACATAAAAGTTTTCATAACAAAAACTTGTTAAAAAACATGTTACATACCCTAATATTCATCATTTTAAAAAAACACGTAAAAGATAAGATCAATTTACGTAGGAGTGAAGGGAAAATAAATACTTATAAAAACTGCGTTTGTATTTCCTATTTAAGGGAACAATAAAATTATACAAATTATATTTAGACATTGAATTTAAACTAATAATCTAAATACGAACATTCTAGAATGTTAATTCTTTCCACTAGACTCTCACACTCAAATATAATATATTTTTTATTTGAATTTATTTTAATAAACAAAGTCTACTTCTTAAATAAGTAATAATTTTAAAATTTATTTTAAATTTAATCAAACTAATTTATTATCAACAATTTAAAAAATAAATAAATTGTAGAGAAACTATACATGCATGTTTTAGAGAACACATAATTTTTCATTAACTGGAATAAGAATAAAGATCTTATAGATTCATTTATTTAAAATAACAATAAATTGTTTTGTCCTCTTTAGTTAAAGTGTTCCAGTTTTGCGGGTTTAACAATAAACTTTGCACAACAACAGAAGCCATGTTTTGGATCAACCATAACACATTGTCCTATCTGATACGAAGCCTTCTTGCAAGTTCCAGCACAGTCTGGATATTCTTGGCATGGCCCCAGACAATGCTGTCTGCTCATACCTGTTCACAATCATCATAATACATTTACACAACAAAACTTATGATTTTCTTTTCCAATTTTATTTTTAAATGTTTTTAACTTTATTTTATTTCTTTTAAAAATGAGTTAATATAATTATTTTTATTCATATCATTATTACTCGTGACATTATTTTATTACTCAATTATTTTCATTAAATAAGTTAACTTTTGAAATTAAAAATACATGGCTGTGAAGAAAATTTTGTGTTTGATCTACGTACCTAGTGAGAATAGAAGAACAAAAACCATGGCTGCCAACATATGCTTCACTGCAAAACCCATTTTTGTGTAGTTTTTTCTTCAACTTTCAATCCCCTGTGACAGCAAAGAAATTTGTCAACTTTTTATTAACTTTCTTTCTAACAGCAACATATTTATAGACTTTGAAGATTATTATTTACGAGAATGGCAAAAAGTGTTGCTCGTGGAATAAAATACTTGTACACATTTATAATTATAATTAATAATATTTGACCCCACCATTTGATTTTAATTGGTACTATAAATTATATTAAAGAAATTATTTATTGAATTTTATAATAACTTTAAAATTTGGTCAATGATTAGTTTACTAGATTAATAAATTATGAGTCAAACTAGTGTGATTGTATTAACTGATATCAATTTAAATAATGTATAACATTAATAATAATCTCATAATATATCATAGAATAATTTCTATTTTACACAAAAACAAACAAAACCTATAATGTTGGTCTAGAAGTAAAAGTTAGAAGTAGTAAAAGAAGTTGTGGGTTAGAAAACAAAACTTACATAACATTTGTTTATAAAAAAATTATCATATTTTTATTTTAAAATTACAATGTTAAAAAAAATGACAAATTTAAATATAATTTTTTTCTCTACCAAGAATAATGGTAAATATCTCAACTATTTCAGAAATTCCTGTTTTTAAAAAGTTTAATTTATGATTAGAGTACTATTGTTTTTAGATAAATTTATTCAATTTAAACTTTTTTCAAAGTTTAAACTTGGTTTTCATCACATTAACCTGATAATAAAAATATTCGTATTTTAAATAATATATTTAATCTAAACAAGATAAGATAGAAATAAAAAATTTATATAACTATATAAGTACAAAAATATATATACAACCGAAAATTAAAATGTATATTAATACATTAATACATAAAATACAATAATATTGCAAAAAGAAATTAACTTGATATAAAAAGATAACATATTAGAATCGAATTATTTAGTTACAAGTGGAATAATTAAATATTATGTATAAGACTGACATTCATTTTTTATATACGTGTTTTCTTATTTTTTTAACATTTTATCTTTATTTTTTATAATTATAGTAATTAAAAAAATTTAAATATTTCTATAAAAAATTATATATTTTTATGATAATAATTACATTAAATTGTTCTTACCCGAAAGGAACAATTGGATTCAAAGTGCAAAACGTAGTATTGTTAAAAGTACTGACCCTGGAATAGTTGATGAATACTCACAGGAGATCACCTGCACAAAATTTCCTTATCTTCAAGTGACTGAGAGTTTAGAGAAATTATAGAATATGAAGTAATAAAAAATTGAGTAATATTTCCTCGTGAACAATATGTATTTATAGGTCAAGACTAAAATATTTAAAAGATATTTAAAATAAATAAAATATATGATTGATTACTGAATATTTCTCCTTCAATCAATTATAATCATATATATTTAAGTAATGATATCAAATTTGATTTATTCGAATTTTATATTACTACATTTTGGAATAACAAAAATAATTAATATCAAATAAAATCTGTGATTAATACTAAATAATATCCTTAATGAATACCACATGTAATGATATAGTATTTAATTATTTCCTTATTAATGTAGCGAGTGCAAGTATTATGGGATTCGATTTCCTATAATCGCTCATAATTATTAATGAATTTATTTGAGTTTATAAAAATTAAATTAATAAAAATAAAACTTTTAATAAAAGAAATAGTAATCATAATGTTTTAAGTGAATCTTACTTGGTTCATAAATAAAGTTTATATTTACTTAAATTTGTTTTATTTTTATTGATGTAAAATGTTTAATACAAGTTTTTCATGCTAAAAAAATATATATTTAAAATGTAAGACTAAATATTAACAATGTTTTGATAATAGACAATACAATAGGTTCATAAAAAACAAATATAATGAGAATAAATTTTGTATAACTTTAATTCTATTTTAAAAGTGTACTAGACACAATTTTATCTTATAAAATAAGTTATTAAAGTGAAGATTGTATAGGCTTACATAATATAACATTCTCTTATCTTTAGTTGATTGAGATCTCTATCATGTTTTAGATATATTATCTATTTATGCAATATAAAAATAATTGATTCCTTATTATGTTGCTTATTAGTTAACAAAATATATAATATTTTGATGTGTTTAACACATAACATACAATATGTGAATATATTAGATGTTTTATATAATAATAAACACAACTTCCAACCACAAAATAAGTCTATAAGACATGCTCCTTCAAAAGAAAACGGGAGACATTCCTTACTAAATGAATAGTTAAGACACATTTTACCATACGTTATTGATTAAATATACTTCACTTACATTGACGATATTACTAAAATGACAAGTAGCATTCACTATGCATATCATGTGTTAATTTGTTAACAAGTCAATTTTGACTTATTACGTCTTATTTATTATTTATACCACACATCATTGTATAATATTGTTTTAATTACTAATTTTGTTAATATGTTTAACCTTTGATTCATTTTGGTCATTATATTTGTTTTTTACTTAATTGAATCCATATTTTTGTAAAAGAATTCAATGTAATCACTTTAGTTAACTTGACATTAACATCATTTTGAAGTGTCCAATATTCACATGCATTTCTTCACAGTTCAAACAAGTAAGTCAATTACACAAGGTAAATAACACAAGTGGGTTGAACTATCAAACATTTCTTTATTACAAATTGGAAAAGTATGGGCAAGGACTTTCTGCACCTATCAAATTTCTTTATGCACCCCATCAAAAGCCTTTGAAAATTTATTTCCATATAGAAGTTGGGTGATTGTTTACGGAAAACATTTCCAAAATTATTTTAATGTGTTTCAAAAATATGAATTCAGAAATGATAGGGTGTAAGGATATGGTGTAGGAAGTAATAGCCAAAGTATGGATGCATTTGTAGGATGAAAATATTGGGCTTGTGAACTGAAAGTAATGTTTGCCAGGGTGTTGCTTCCTCCACCAACACCCCTTGCTCCCTCTATCATCCCATTCTTCTTTTATCTCTCTCTTTATTTTCTCATTCCTATTTTACTCTTAGTAAAATTTTATGATTAATATTTTTTAACCTCTCTACATGTATGAAGCGTCAACTCTTCTTCCTCTTTATCATTTGTCTCTCATTGTTTCATTGTGTTCTTCTTCCTCTCACATTCCACTTCTTCTTCTCATTCATAGAATTGTGGTGTGAGAGTGTGGTGGACTTTCAGTGTGCTTAATGAGAGATTGCAAGTGGTGAAAGCAATTGATCAGTCGTGTGTGTGGTGGTGGTGTGGTGCTTGAAGGTGCAGAGATTCATCGTGAAGGTGCGTAATAAACCCTAAAAAATAAACGTATAATCTATAAACGGATGTTGACATCCGCTGACGGATGCTCACATCCATTTAAAGATTATACGTTTATTTTTCAGCTTATTTTTATTAGCTTATTTTTTTATATTAATTTTGGAGATATTTTAATATTGTTATTAGTTTATATTTATATTTTTTGTATTTTGCACGTTATATATAATTAGTTTTTTGTTTTAATGTTTTTGTATAATATATATTTTTTATATATGATTTTTGTATGTTTTAACAAATTTATAATTATATAAAATATTATTTATTTGTTTAATTATATGAAATATATAATTTTATTATATTAATATTTTTATATTTGTTTGATTAATTATTAATTATATTAATAAGACTTTTTATAATTTTATAGGTGATTATTGTTTAAAATGGATGAATATCTTCATATGGATTCCCAAGTTGGTTCTAGTTTGATATCTGATTTATCTTCATTCATTAGCAAAGTTGGAGAGGGAGATTTGACAAATAAATTTACCACAAATGAAATATTTCGTTCACGGGAGCACTTACTTTATAGGGTAAGAGGGATGACTTATGATTTAGGATTTGTTGTGGTAATAGTAAGATCGGATATAGCTACTAGTGTACGGGAAAGAAAAACGTTCATCATACTTCGATGTGAAAGAGGAGGGAAATATCAAAAATACAAAGCCGATGCGGTGCCTAGTGTATACGACACTCGTAAATGTGAGTGTCTGTTTAGATTAAAGGGTAAACCATGTTCAAACGGGGATGGATGGGTGTTGAAGGTAATGTGTGAACATCACAACCATGAGTTGGCTGAAACTTTAGTTGGGCATCCTTATGCTGGCAGGTTAAATATGAGTGAGCAGTCATTATTGGTTGATATATGACAAAGAGTAAAGTTACACCTGCAAATATTTATTAACTCTCAAACAAAATAATGATCGAAATGTCACAACGATTAAACAAATCTACAACGCAAGGCAAGCGTATAAACGATCATTGAGAGAGTCCAGAACTAAACTACAACAACTTATGATGTTGTTGGACAGGGATAAGTACATTCATTGGAGTAGGTGTTCCGACGATTCAGAGGTTGTTACTGACCTGTTTTGGACACATCCTGATGCGGTGAAATTGTTAAACTCATTTAATGTTGTATTTTTGATGGATTCCACATATAAAACAAACAGAAATAGACTTCCATTACTTGAGATTGTGGGCATGACGTCTATAGGGTTAAACTTCTCTACAACATTTTCTTTCTTGTCTACTAAACTAGAGAGTAATTTCACATGGGCTTTGGAAAAGATGAAAGGTTTATTTTTAACATCTGAGGGTGGTCCTAAAGTCATTGTCACTGACCGAGACTTGGCTTTGATGAATGCCATTGCAAATGTATTCCCTGAGTCATATAAGATGTTATGTCAGTTCCACATCCTTAAAAATGTTAAAGCTAAATACAAAATGTTAGTTAATTCTAATGAGGTTTGGGATGTGTTGATGGATGCATGGCAAAATGTGATGGATTGTGCTGATGAAAGCTTATTTGCTGAGTATGTGAATGATTTTCAATATGCGAGCAGTTCATGGTAGATAAATATTTATTTGCACTTGTTGATGATTTTTTTTTATTTCAGGGTTGAGTCTGCTCATTGGAGTTTGAAGAAAGTTCTGGGCAATAATATGGGTGATTTGTGTTCTTGTTGGGATATTATTCATAACGTCGTTATCCTACAACACAACAAGATTAAGGCATCATTTGAAAGAAGTTTGTTGCTCACGAGTGACCCTTTTAAAGGATACAGATATAGAAAACTTATTGGGAGTATCTCTCGATATGCATTGGATCTCATTGCTAAGGAATTGGAAAGAGTGCAGTAGATAGGATTGGACTCATCAAAGTATGAATGCGTATTGAGACGTACATTTGGTGTCCCCTGTGCATGTAAAATAATTACGTAACAAATTAATTGAAAATAAAAAATTAAAATTAAATTAGTTGATAAAAATAACTAAAAATTAAAATTTAATAATAAACTAAAAACTAAAAAAAACATCCAAGCCTGAATGAATGTCGCATATCCGTTTGGATTTGAAACGGATGTGGATATCCGTATGCGACATCTGTTCATGGCCTGTTATCTTCTTCCTCCCTCCGAACACACGCACACACAGAGAAAAAACACAGAAAAAGCACGAACCACCACAGCACCACAACAATTACAACATATTCACAACATTTACATCCACAGCAAGAAATGAAACGAAGATCTAATCTCTCGTAGACCTAAGACGCGAAACACCGCCGGCGCACCGCCAAAGCAAGAAAATGAGACTTGGAGAGTTGGGGGTGGGGCTGCGTGAACTGAAATGGAGGAGAGAAATAAGAGATGTTGATGAAAAGAACGGATGTGGTGGAGTTGGTGGGGGTGGGAATCTGAAAAGATAGAAGGAGAGTTGGGAGGTGGGGCTGAGTGAAAAGTGAGTGGATACAAAGATAGGGTTATAGTTTAAAGTAAATAAAAGTGGTTAAAAAAGTAAAAAAAGTTATTTTTATAATTAAAAAAATTTGGCAGAAGGTTTGGGAGGTGGAGGAAGAAGTGATGGTGGTGAAAGGAGTAACACCCTGTTTGTCGGGGGAGTAGTTTGAACTAGGCCTTTTTTTCCTACACTCCTATTATTACTAATTGCACTTCTATACTAATAGAAAAAAAAATTAAAATATTTTTTCTCAGTGCATTGCCGCCACTACTTTTATCATCACTGCATTACCGCCCTATCTTTTAGGTCCTATCTTTTATAAGTCAGTAAGTAAAATATCTTTTTAAAAATAATGAGAGTGCAATTAGAAACTATAGAGGTACAGAAAATAAGATGCTGTTGAATTAACTATTTCTTGTTGGGCCTACCCTAGTTATTTTCTAATTTTTTTTTTAATATGGGAGGGAAATGGGCATGCTTTGTTATTCAATGTTACTATATTATGTTTGTTGATAATATTGGAAAATCTATATCTTAGGTGATTCGACAATTCAAGTTAGGAACACCATATATTTGTATTTTATTTTTATTATAAGAACATTTTGAAATATATTTTAAAATGATAATATAAGCATTCTTAAAATTTGTCAATATCAAGTAAAATACTAATTACAGAAAATTAAACATGGATTAAAAATTTAAAGTTTTCAATAAAGTGCAAAAAAAAGCAGAAGAGGTTGAATTGTATTTTTCTTAAAAGTACTTAGAAATCTTAACACTATTTATATTTCTTTAAAATATGTTTTTCCTTTAAGGGTGAAAGAGAGAAAGGGATAAGAGAATTTATATGATTCGTCCCAATCATGAAACTTCCTTCATTTTTTGAAAATCTCCATGTTTCACTAAAAACAAAATTTACAACTAGTATTTTTTTGTTTCTACCTTTAGAAAAAATAAAATAAAAACTTAATTATTCTGTTTACTTATTTTTCTAAGCAATTACTCCAAGTATTTTTTTTAATAAAATATTCGGCTTTAATATCACTTATAATAAATTAATTAAAAGGTATGATCCAAAACGTCTAAAATAGATAAATATAAGGACTAACTTATGTTTTTCTTAACTAAAAGCATTCAAAGATACAATAGTATAGAGTTTAGAAAAATCATAGCGACAGTTTTTCAAATAGACATATAGATAAATAGTTCTATTTTATTTTTCATATTTGAAATTGCTTATATATAAAAGTACTAAATAATAGATAGTCATTATACTCACTTGCTATTGTTTAATGCTTAATGAGGTAATAAAAAGACCATTAATATTATACACTAAAGCATATTTAATGTATTTAATTGATAGGTTTCACGCCATGGATTATTTTTAAGTGAATATGTTTTCTCCACTACATTATGCTCTTAGAACATTAATTTTGATTTCCCCATTACTGTTAAAAAAACAATATAAAAAAAATCCCAAGAATAATATTAAATAACACGTATATATAAGATATTATATATATATATATATATATATATATATATATATATATATCATAAAAACAGTTATTTGCATTTAGACCATATATCATCTAATATAGACATAAATTGGTCTAATAAAGATTATAAATAATACTTCATTTGAAACCTTAAAACATGATTGTGTATGTTATTCACGAGAATAAGATTTTTAATTATTTATTCTAACAATAACTAATTATCAAAAAATTAATTTATTAATAATGATATACATAATTCACGTAAGGGAAAATTAAATTTCATCCCTTAATTATTTTTATATAAATTACATTTTTATTGTTGAAACGCAGAAGCTAACACAAGGAATTTGTAAAGTTTCAAATTCCGTACTATAAAGTTTAAAGATCATTCTTTTTTTTTTCTCTCAAGTCTTAAAACTAATGATAAAGTGGTCAACATTGTTTAATCACTCCCAAAAAAAAAAAGTTTTCAACATTACTAACTAATTATAGTGAAAATAATAGGAAAACATATTTATAAGAAACTCGTTCATGACTTTAAAAGTAATGAAAAGTATAACTTTTAAAAGAAAATGGAAAATCCACATAATTTAAATGTTTTTAAAAGAGATAAGTAATAAGTGATGGCTTTGAAGTATTACAGAATATGCAATGGGGGTAATGATCTCTAGAAAATGGTATTGATAAAAAATATATACTGTGATCAAAATAAAAACTAAAAAATCAGAAAGTTTTAAAAAATAATTATGGTTTAAATATTTATTTATTTATTTATTTTCTTAAGAATAAATTAGTTAGCCAATTTTCAATTGTTCAGAGACAATAAATAATAATTTGACTCAAAAATTGACAAGGACATTTTGTTGCCAGACACCAGAAAAGTACTTCCTTTAATTATTTGTGCTTAAAATCAATGCCCCCTTACTTTCTTATTTATCATCATTAATTTTTTCTATTAGCCAATTAATGACCGACAAGCTAATCCAACAAACCTAATGAGATATTAGTTTCTAATTCGACTAATTTCAAAACAATGATGGGTTACATATAAAAGTAAATAATCACTAAATACTTTTAATTTTATGCACTATAGTTTACTTATTTATATGAAATTAACACTTGTTTACTTAATAAATGCAAAAAAAAAGAAAGAAATACAATTGTTAACTTTAGTATTCTAAATGAGGAAACAATTTAAAAGAAAAACATATAAGATTATTTTAGAAGTTCTTGCCTCTCACTTTCAAGCTACCAATCAAATCCCCCTTTGATCTTCTCACTTCCATAGAGATTTCTCTTTGGGTCACACATAGATAAACTTAAAAAATAAAATATAAAAAAATTAATGACATGTTTGATTTTGGGAATTTTTGTTAAAATGAATTGATTTTATGTAAAAAAAATAAAATAGATTTCATGCATTTGAACATTTTAAGCTTACAACTATTTTAAATAATGGGGATTTCTATTTGTGATTGGCATGATGGGATAAGGGCCCACAATGGATCTTCTACATGAACCACTATCTCATAGAGTGACCCTTACCCACCACCACCATTTTTCAATTTTACCTTTTCTCATTCCATAATCCAACCCTTTTGCTTTAATATTATTCTATCTTACATCATCCCATTGCAATCATCTCTATGGAATCAAACTATCACACCCTCCATTCCATCTCCTTCAACTTCCATCTTTTAATATATAAATTATCAAAACACAAAACAAATAGCTTTAATTAAAAAATTAAATTAAATATTTGTGTTTTTTTCTTTTCAAATAGTCATATATTATACACTACGTACTTTGATATATGTAAATATTTAGTTAATTAATATTATTATTTTCTAGTTTTTTTTTCTTATTTTTCTCCCTTCTTAAACTATCACATTTACTTCTTCTTCATCTTCTCCATCAAATAATCGTTCATATGCACTAAATATCAAATGTTCCATTCATTTTTTTAATATAAGATAGAATTTAAAAGAGATGGATGATTATTTTTATAAGGCATTTTATAGTTTATATAAAATATTAATTTAATTACCTTTTTCTTTTCTTTTTTCATTGAATTATGATTTTTTTATTAGAAATAATGTGAATATAATTTTAAAAGCTATTAATAATAAAGACTAACTTGATGTATTGTTTAAAAATTTCAACAAACATTACCAATTTAATAATCTCTGATCTATATCATAAATAAAAAAAATGAATTACGTACTAATAGTTAATTAATTTATGTCAATTTAAAAAATGCCTTATATCAAGGATCACATAGAGTATCAATAGTTTGTGTTGAGACCAATTACACGTGTCATAATAATAATTCACAAACAGTTTCTGTCTCTATTCAAGTCATAATAAAGTTACTTTACATTAAAACCATGATTCATATGCAATCAGCAAAGAACTTAAACTACTCTCTTTTAATTTCGATTAAAGTTTTATGTTAGTAGTAAAAGAAAATTATTGAATAACAATTAATTTAAAATAAAAATAATTAAAGTTTATATTAATTAAGTTAGATATTATTTTATAAGTATTAAAATTATTAGTATTTAAAATATAATCTCAATTATTAATAAAAAATTATAATTGGCATGTGAATCATAATTTAAATTTATCTTTAAGATCAATTATTAAGGTTTTAGCTTTATAGAACAATTTAGACTTTGATTCATAAATTAATTATAAATATTTATAAATAATAGAAACTATTTTAGATATTAATAATATTTTAAAATTGTAGTAAATTTAATACACACTTACAAATTAAAATCAAAAGTAATTTTTAAACACATCCATCTTAATTTATTGAAATTCTTTTAAAATAAAACAATTATAAAATTATTAAATATAACTTCAGATAAATTTTCAAATGGAATTATTTTAGCCATG